CCAGTTTGGGTTCTTCTTCTCTCTGCCTTTCTTCCTTCCTTCGTCTCAGTCTTGTGTAGTTTTTGGGACTGGATAAACCAGCTTTCTTGGCTGCCTGTGAATATTTCTGACCTGCATTAGAGTGTGGTTTCTTTGAGTCTTTGTGCTTTGGTGAGGACTGGGGAGGGGAAAATAGCCTATGTGGAGCTAGTGAAAGAAGAAGAGGAAAAAATTGCACAGAAACAGAATAATACTTTGAAATGTAACCCTGCCACATGGCTTGTAAAACTAGAATATTTCACTCTGATTCTAAATAACTTAATGAACATTATTTCATTACTTTAATTTTGACAATAATGGGTCAAGGGCTGGTATATCTGTGGTTAAGATGAGGGGGAAATGTAGCTTTTTGTGTGGTCTAAAACACTCATACTAAGACAACTGGAAGACCCAAAGGGAAGAATCGTGCAATCTGTTATATGCTAGCTCTTAAAAGAAAAGTAGTAGAGTTTTTTCTAGATTTGTTCCATAAACTGCCATTTAACTGTACCAGCTAATGAGATGGCCAGATATTTTCCAATTAAATTGGCACAACTTAAAATATATATATTTTAGATTTAGGGGGTACATGTACAGGTTTCTTACAAGGGTATGTAGTGTGTGATGCTGAGATTTGGGCTTCTATTACCCTTGTCACCCATATAGTGAACATAGTACCCATAGGAAGTTTTACAGACTGCGTCCTCCTCTCTCCTTTCCTCTTCCTCCCCCACCTTTTTGAAGTCTCCAATGTCTCATCTTTATGTCTGTATATACCCATAAATTGGCACAACTTCTCTCTCTAAATGATAAATGACTGATTTTGGCTGGGTGCAGTTGCTCACACCTGTAATCCCAGCACTTTGGGAGGTTGAGGCAGGTGGACTGCTTGAGCCCAAGGAGTTTGAGACCAGCCTAAGCAATGTAGTGAAACCCATCTCTACAAAAAATAAAACAATTAGCCAGGTATGGTGGCACTCTTTGGTAGTCACAGCTACTTGGGAGACTGAGACAGGAGGATCTCTTGAGCCTGAGTGGTTGAGGCTGCAGTGAGCCAAGCTCTCTCAAGTGCACTCCAGCCTGGGTGACAGAGCCAGACCCTGTCTCAGAAAAAAAAGAAAAAAAAAAAAAAAACCTAAAACTAAAACAAAAGGATGAGTTTGATTGAATGCTCATTCTTAAAAATCAGATTCTGTGCTTACAAACTTTACAAATATATATTATTTAATGTGGTCCTCAGAACAACTCTATGAGTTAGTTTCTTTTATCTTGGTGAGTAATGAATGGAATTCCCATTTTACAGGTTAAGAAATTGAGCTGTAATTTTGCTGGAGTCACACAGCTATTAAATGGTGGGGCTGAAAAACCAAGGTCGTTGTGAGCCCAGAGCCCCTGCTCACAGCCCCACATTACACCTTTGCTATAGAGATGAGAGATGATTTTTTAGGAAACTAAGAGTCCAAGCTGACTCTGGCAAGACCCTGGCATCACCACAGCCAGTCTTGAGTCTGAACTCAGCTGAGATGACTGGGTGTATCAATACAGAGGCCATGCCGACATGACTTCCTGGACTTGGAGAAATCCTCTGGAGAGGATGGACTCTTAAAGAATTTAGAGGAAATTTCTATTTTGGGTGTATCTACATATGTGTATTTATTTATGGGTTTTTAAATAGGCATGTTCCAGTAAAGGTACAACTGATTTTATTCTTTATTTTTAGATAGGTAAAATATCCATATAAGCCACAAAACAACAATATAAAATCTTTCTTCTATTCCTTCAGCCCAGTTTATACCCCATTCCCTTTTTCATGTCTACCTCTTAAGAATTCCTTTTATACAACTTTGAGTAAATGTAAAATTATATTCATATGCCTTTTCTCCTTTTATATACAAGGTCATCATTTTTAAATTTTGTACTGTCTTTGCTTTTTTCTTTTCTTTCTTTCTTTCTTTCTTTTTTTTTTTTTTTTTTTTTTAGGTAGTGTCTCGCTCTTGTCGCCCAAGCTAGGGTGCAATGGCGCAATCTTGGCTCATTGCAACCTCTGCCTCCCAGGTTCAAGTGATTCCCCTGCCTCAGCCTCCCGAGTAGCTGGAATTACAGGCACCTGCCACCATGCCCGGCTAATTTCTGTATTTTTATAGAGACAGGATTTCACCGTGTTGGCCAGGCTAGTCTCGAACTCCTGACCTCAGATGATCTGTCCACCTTAGCCTCCCAAAGCACTGGGATTACAGATGTGAGCCACCATGCCCAGCTCTTTGCGTTTTCAGATAGTGATTTATCTTGGAAATATTTCCATATCAGCACTTGGAGAGATTCTTCATTCTTATTTACAGTGTCATAATATTTCATGGTGTTAAATCTATTATCATTTATTAACCAGCTCTCTATTAGTAGATATTTGGGTTGTTTCCAGTCTTTTGCTCTTACTGATGCAGTGAATAAACTTGCATATATGCCACTCTGAATATGTGTATGTATTTCTACAGGATAAGTTTCTAGAAGTAGAAATCCTGTGTTAAAAGTATGCATTTATAATTTTGACTGATAATGGCAAATTATCCGCAATAAGAGTTATACTAATTTGTACTTCCACTAGTAATGCATGAAGTGAGAGAATTTCCCACACTCCTGCCAACACAGCTAATGGTTTTTTGGATTTTGGCCCATTTGATTAAAAATGTTTGGATTTTGGCCTATTCAATAGATAAGAAATATTGCAGATTATTTAAATGTGATTAGTTAAGCAACTTTTCGTATTTTTAAGTGCCACTTGTATTTCCTTTTCTATGAACTTTGCCCATTTCCTCTTAAGGTCTTTTATCAATTTCTAGAAACTCATCATATATTAGGGAAAGTTGTCCTTGTCTATGATATGAATTGAGCATATTTTTTACTGTTTGCCATTTATTTATGATTAAACATGTTAGCCTTCTCTTATGTTTTCTGAATTTTAGATCTTAGTAAGGCCTTTCCCACTACAAGGTTATACAAGTCTTCTACTGTGTCATCTAGTGATTTCATAGTTCTGTTTTTCTTACTTAAATATTTGCTTTACTTGGAGTTTATCTTGGTTTATATTATTATTATTATTATTATTATTATTTCGAGACAGAGTCTTGCTCTGTCGCCCAGGCTGGAGTGCAGTGGCGCGATCTGGGCTCACTGCAAGCTCCGCCTCCCGGGTTCACGCCATTCTCCTGCCTCAGCCTCCCGAGTAGCTCGGACTACAGGCGCCTGCCACCAGGCCCGGATAATTTTTTGTATTTTTAGTAAAGACAGGGTTTCACTGTGTTAGCCAGGATGGTCTCGATCTCCTGACCTTGTGATCCGTCCGCCTCGGCTTCCCAAAGTGCTGGGATTACAGGCTTGAGCCAACACGACCGGCCTTGGTTTATATTGTAACACTTGGATTGAACCTTTTTTTCTCAGATGGCTGTCCAGGTGTACCACACCATTTAGTGAATAATGCCTGGTAATTCAATCCCCAGTCATTGGAGATACCACCTTTATCATATTCCATATGCCATATATAATTTTATCTATACTTATGTAAATAGAATGGCTTTACTTTAGAATCCTAGGGGAAAGTCTGAATTTTCTTGTGGGAACACTAGAGGATTTTTTTTTTTTTTAAGACCGAGTCTCACTCTGTCGCCCAGGCTGGACCAGGCTGGAGTGCAGTGGCACAATCTTCTCACTGCAGCCTCTGCCTCCTGGGTTCAAGCAATTCACCTGCCTCAGCCTCCTGTGTAGCTGGGATTACAGGCACCCATCACCATGCCTGGCTAGTTTTTATATTTTTAGTAGAGACGGGGTTTCACCATGTTGGTCAGGCTGGTCTCCAACTCCTGACCTCAGGTGATCTGCCTGCCTCAGTCTCCCAAAGTGCTGAGATTACAGGTATGAGCCACCACGCCCAGCCGTTTTTTTTAAATCGTGGTAAAATATTATTTTTATGTTTTATATATATTTTAATTTAAATAGTTACTACTTTAACCATTTTTAAGTGTGAAGTTCCGTGGCATTAAGTATATTTACATTTGTTGTGCAACCATCACCACCATCATCTCTAGGACTTTTTCATGTTCCCATCACATGGCTTTGAATCAAATATACCAGTAATTTTATGACATACCATTCATTTGTAAGGTAAGCCCTGATTTTAGAGATATTAAAATATGGTAAAATATACATCTTAGGTATATTTTAGTTACTAAAATATTTAGTTACTGAAGTATAGTTCTCAATTTTCAAGTGTATTTAGTTTATTTCTGAACATTCTAATCTATTACATTTTTCTCTCCATGTGCCAGTGCCACCCTATCTTAATTATTGCAGATTTACAATATCTTTTAATACATAATAAGGCTAGTTTCTCCTCACTGGTCTTCTTTTTCAGATTTCTTTCTCCAGTTATACTCGTGTAGCTGTCTAGATAAACTAAGCAGCCTTTCCTTGGCTCTTATAGACCTTCCTTTCCCTCTTTCTATCTCTATTCTACTTAAATTATAAAAATTTTCGTGTAGATGACCTTATGAGGCCTGCAGATGAGCTCTAAGTCTAGGATCAGGTTATCTTCTCTGAAAGTTTGTGTATCTCTTGACTTTCTTCTCCTGGGTTTCTGCTTTAGCTTTGTCACTTCAAGTGCAGTCCATTCCTGATCTATATTGTCAGCATAAAAGGGAGCTGCTCCTATGAAAGTTCTTAGACTCATTTACTGCTTTGAGTCTTGTACATAGAATATTAGTCTTTTTCAGTGAAGTTAGCAGTGTTTCTAGAAGGATAGAAAAGCTGAAATGTTTGCAACTGCATCAGGGTTTAAAGTAATTTACTAATGCATTTGCCTTCAGTGGGAGTTTGTTGTCTTGCCAGTTATTCATATTAAATTTTTAGCATTTTAAATAATGTATTACTATAAGCTTATCTTTATTTGCATTTATAGATCATAAACTCATTTCTGTTTTATTTTACTGAAGAACCCATTAAAAGAGCCAGTAAATCCAGTGGAAAATGGCCTTCAGTGATCTTACATCGAGGACTGTGCATCTTTATGATAATTGGATCAAAGATGCTGGTGAGTAGCCACATTTCCTAATTGAGGTTCATCCTTCCTTTTTATGTCAGATTCTCATATTTAATAGGATTTCATTGGAACAAAATGAGAGACTTTGCAACTTAACAGTCCCTTATTACTAGTTAACGAAGAGGAAGTGCACGAGTTTCATTACAGATATGTACAAAGATGGAGCTACACAGATGTTCATTACAATGTTTATAGTAATGAAAATAGCCTAGATATCCAGTGAAAGGAACTGATCAATAAATGATGGCTCATTCTGAGTAGCCATTAAAAGTGATTTCGGAGGGACAGTGCTCTTCGGCTTGATTCTTCCCTAATGCTCCTGAGGGAAATTACAGTTACTGCCAACTCTTTTTTTTTTTTCTTTTCTTTTCTTTTTTTTTGTTTTTTGTTTTTGAGACAGAGTGTCACTGTGTCGTGCAGTGGCACAATCTTGGCTCACTGTAAGCTCCTTCTCCCGGGTTCACGCCATTCTCCTGCTTCAGCCTCCCGAGTAGCTGGGACTGCAGGCGCCCACCACCACGCCCAGCTAAATTTTTGTATTTTTAGTAGAGACGGTTTCACTGTGTTAGGATGGTCTCGATCTCGTGACCTCGTGATCTGCCTGCCTCGGCCTCCCAAAGTGCTGGGATTACAGGCGTGAGCCACGGCACTCGGCCACTGCCAGCTCTTTTGAATGAAAGAGTTGCAGCCCCCAGGAAGCTGTCAGAGTGAACAGGGAACAGAAAAACCAGGGAATGGCTGCCTGGGACACCCCTGAGTGATTCTGATATGCCTGCATTTTACCCTTGCCCATTTGTTTTACAAGTCAGTGTTTCAGAAGAACATTAATGCCATAGGAAGAAGTCTAAAATATGTTAAATGAAAGCAGGTTATAAAATACCCCATACGTTTCTTTCACGGGGTTTAGCAGTTATCTCTGGGTGGTAGGATTATGGGTATTTTTTTATTTCCTTACCTATATTTGTCTACATATTTTTAAATCACAACAAATATGTTGTGTTGCTTTTATAACCATTTTTTGAAGTTTTAAAAGCAGAACAAAAGTAAAATTTCAAAAAGAAAGAATCAGAGCATCTTACAGCTGAGATGGATCTTAGATATCATTGAAGCTTATGCCTCATTTTACAGTTGAAGAAATGTGACCTCAAAGTCATGGTTAGTTGATGGCAGAAAAGAGTAGAACCTATGTGTTCTGATTATTAGTTGTAGTATTATGGTATTTAACATTTGAGTTTATTTTTGAGATACTGAGCTATACATACTTACCAACATCACTACTTTGGGTTGATTCTTACCTATCACCTAGAAATTGCAAGTCTATCAAATTCAGGAGGGAAATGCACCACCTCTTGGCACCTACCACAGTTGAAATTATATTCAAATTTACAATGATTTCAGCAAAGATACCCTGTTTCATGGTTTGCAGCTTTCTCAGTAGCTGCTAAAAACCAAATTTATTTCATTAAAAATGTTCCCAACAGTTTTTCCTTTGAGGAACGCCAAGGCTCTTTGTAAGTATCTCATAGATAGAGAAACTTCACTCTGGTAGGGGATACATAGTGACTGTGCCAATCTTTTCTTCTTAGTTTTTTTTTCTTAGTTTTCCAATATATGTAAGGATACAGAGAGCATTCAAGTTTCTTTAGGAGTCATCCTTCTCTGAGGGTTTACAGTAGTTCTCATAAAGTCAGTATTAATTTAAATATTAATTTTTTCATTGCTTTTCAAAGAGAATGTGCCTTGCTACCTGAACTCTCACTATTTGAACTTAGGAACCAAGTAAATTTGGGTATGGTTTTTGAAATAGAGTTATTTGGAAGAACAGATCTCTTGCTATCCAATTCTTGACAGTCATTATGCCAAATACAAGAATCCGAGACTCAAATAATCAACATGCTAACTTAAGAGCCCAATAGATGTAGATAATGATAAATATCTATGTAGTCCTAGAAGTTAAAAATGCCTTAATATGAACTTCTTTAGAATTCCACTTCCACTTTTATCCTTGGATCAACTCCTTAATTTTTATTAGGAATACCTACATTGAAATTGCTGAGTAAAATTAGATTAGATGTGGAGTGGAGGCCTGAAAACAGCATTGCAAACGGTGCAGGGCAGATGAGGGGAGAGAGGCAGGGAGAAGGCAAGGAATACCTGTATTTGAAGTTATGCTTATTTGAAGACTTGGGAGTGGAAAGAGGGTACGGGGATGTGGAGTGAGAATACCTAGATTTAAGGTCTGACACTGCTGTAGCCCAGCTGGATGATCTTGAACGTGTTATTTATTGGCTGTGAGTCTTTGTTTCTTTATTAGCAAAACATAAGTGAGAATAGCATCTACCAGCTACCAGGTAACATACATGAAAGTGCTCTGCTATTTCGGAAGTATCCCAACATAAATAGTGGTGCTGGTTGTTACAAATGATAGATTTCATCTGAAAATACTCTTCATATAGCGTATACTTAAAAATTGTTTTCTTTTCATTATTTTTTCCCAGGCATGGTCTAAAAGGGTTAAAATGTTTTGTTTTGAGATATACAGCTTTATGGAAACCCTGTCAGGTGTAGCAGGAAAGTTTTTGCCCTCTACTTAGTGTAATATTGATCTCTGAGATCCATTAGTAATCATTTCTGGCCATCTTAGTCCAGTTTTAGTTTGCTTACCCTGGAAATGTCTGAACTTATGATCAAGGGCCAAGAATTTCAAGTGTATTCTTGGCTTTAGCCCTAACCCTGAGTAGCCTAAGGAAACTTACTGATATTCATTGGCTTTCTGATTGCTAGAGAAGTAGTGGTCATGCATAGTTATTTCATGTGGAAAAATTCCACAGCTACAGAATAAAAAATGGTTTAATTAATACTTAGCTATAAGAGGATTTATTTGGATTCTTAGATGTGAAATGTGAGATTTTGAAATAATTCTATAGTAGCATTTTGGATTATAGAGAAATGAAAAAGTTTTTAATGTTTAAAATACAGCTTTCCTTGTATTTGATTAGAAATGATGACTTTTCAGACTTAGTCATGATCCTTTTTTGCAAGAAGATGGAGTATGAGTAAGATTGCTGCCATTCTGAAACTTTAGTACTTCAAAAAGTACTTAAGGTACATGTTTGCTTTTCCTTCCAGCTTCTTCATTTCATTGGTACTTGGTATCTTAAAGATGTACTGTTTGAGCCAGTACATGCTACTTAAGAAGAGAACACTCTCTTAGAAGCAGATGATGGAAAAGCTCATTAATATTCTATGTATGTGGCATTCTACTTTCCCTATGCTCTCTCCCTGGGACACTCTTAGAAAACAATTATTAAGCAAGTGATAAATCAGAACTTTGGTAATCATTGGGATATAGACTGTCAGACAGCCTTCCCATCCTCTGCTTCTATCGTGGCTCTACTCATGACACTTAAACCAAATCTGATGCCGAAAAGAAGGTACATGAAACATCCCCCACCCCATTAGCCTTTTTTTGGGGGGCAGACAGAGCACCTCATGCCTATATCTAACTTTTTCAACTTATGTAATGATACAGGGAACATTCAAGTTTCTTTAGGGGGTCATCCTTTTCTGAAGGTTTATAGTAGTTCTCATAAATTCAGTATTTAACTTCAGTACTAATATTTTCATTGCTTTTCAAATAGAGATGTGCCTTGCTACCTGAACTCTCATTATTTGAGCTTAGGAACCAAGTAGATTTGGGTGCAGTTTTTTTGAAATAGAGCTGTTTTGAAGAACAGATCCCCTGCTATCCAAATGTTGCTATTCACTATCCCAAATGGGATCATAGACGGAGTCAGAATTAACTTTAACTGTCACCCAGCAGGTACATTGATACTCCCTGTAACATGCCCACTACCTTACATGGAAGTGGACTCTATTCAGAAAGGTATAATTGTTGTTAAGAGAGACAGCCAGAAAAGTGAACAATGGCCAGAGTCATGGGTGTCATCCTAATGATTTTGTATTTTATTTGCTCAGTCAGGGAGAGCTAATTTAAGCAATTTCATTTGCTCAGTCAGGGAGAGCTAATTTAATGAAAGGAAGAATTTAGGGACAACTTGATTTTTAGAAAATGAATTTGACAATTGCATGGAAGACTAGTGTAGCAGATTGGATCAGGAGGCAGTGAAACCATATAACAGACTATTGAAGAATACCCAGTGAGGGGTGCTGTAGCCCTAAATATAGGTGAGGAAACTTGGTCTCACACCAGACCCCTAGCTCTTAACAATGACAGCTCATCACAGTTACCAATTAACAAATTGTTGACTGCTGACAAATTATAATTACATATATTTATGGGGTACAAAGTGATGTTGTGATATATGTATCCAATGTAAAATGATTAAATCAATCTAAATAGCATGTCCATCACTTCAAATACTTATCTTTTTGTGGTGAAAACATTTGAAATTTACTTTTTACAATTTTGAAATGCACATTATTATTAGCTCTAGTTATGCTGTGCAATAAATCTCAAAAAGATATTTCTTCTGTTGAACTGAAACTTTGTACCCTTTGATCAACATCTCCCTATTCCCCCAACCCCCTGGCCTCTGGTAACCACCATTCTACTCTGCTTATATAAATGTGATTATTTTAGACTTCTTTATAAGTGATAACATGTCTTGTCTTTCTGTGCCTGGTTTATCTTACTTAGCATAATGTCTTCCAAGTTCATCCACATTGTCACAAATTTTAGGATTTTCTTTTTGAAGGCTGAATAATTGTCCATTGGTTATTTCTCTCTATATATCTACAGGTCTGTAACTCAGAAAGGCATAACTTTAGATTGACAGATATCACATTTTCTTTATCCATTCACCCACTATTGGACACTTAGGTTGATTCCACATCTTGGCTATTATGAATAATGCTGCAGTGAACATGAGAGTGCAGATATCCCTTCAATATGCTGATTTCATTTCCTTTGGATATATATCTGGAAATGAGATTACAGGATCATATGGTAATTCTATTTTTAGTTTTTT